AGGATTTCTTGGTCTTGACTCTTAGACCTTTGTACATTCTGTGCTCATCTCTTTTTCTCAATTATGCCAGTACAGAACCTGCCTTTTATTGAAAATATGGAGAAGAGGATTCAAAATGCTAGCCTGATATTGGATGCAAGCTTGGGCCATTGCTTTGTAGATGGTCTAGAGCATCGAGACGCAACTGCAATATACAATTGCTTACGAGCATATGCTGCCATTGATAACACCAAAAATGCAGAAGAAATTTTTCGAACCACTATTGTGGCCCCATTGATACAGAAGATTATTCCACATGGACCTTCAGCCATGGCTGCTGAGTCATCTGCAGATGGACTTGACAGCGATTATGAGCAGATTAAGGAATGCATTGATAACAACTGTAAATTTTTATTGGAGATTTCTTCAGCTGGTACATATCTGTGTTCACTATCAATATGAACAATTAATTTACTGCATTAGCTATATATCCTTACTGCTGTATTCCTTTGTCTTTCTTGGTATTTAAAAAATTGAACTATTGAGTCGGCTGGACCATGAGTTATCTGTCTGTCTGGATTATAGAGTTGTTGAAATATGGTCGCGCACTTGTGCCATTGTTTTGGAAATACATCAAGCATATTCACCTATCAAGAACACAATGCCAGTGTCTAATATAATAGCAGTATACCTAGATTGGATTAAATCCGTCTGAGGTTTTTTCTTTGGTGCAGAAAATTCTGGGTTGCATGTTTTTGACTTCTTGGCCAATTCAATTCTCAAAGAGGTTCTCTCTGCAATCCAGAAGGGAAAGCCTGGTGCATTTTCTCCGGGAAGACCGACAGAGTTCTTGAAAAATTACAAATCAAGCCTAGATTTCTTGGCTCATCTTGAAGGTAGTTGTCAAAAGACTCAAATCTGCCTTCTTCATAACTCACTTCTTCCCCTTAAGATAAAAAAAATCGAGGCCTTCAATTTTGAAAGAACTTTGTTGTGTGAATGTGTTTGTGCATCTATTGATTTCATTTTTACATGTATTAAGAGATTTTATTTACTAAATTTTGTAACTTTGGATTTCATGCAAGGCTACTGCCCGTCCAGATCTGCTGTTGCTAAATTTCGTTCTGAAGCCATTTATTCTGAGTTCATGAAGCAATGGAATATCGGTGTATATTTCTCTCTGAGGTATTTTATCTGTTATAAGATGGTCATGGGTTTAAAGAACTGTTTTTTAGTGGCTGGTGACATGGAAATGATATCTGCATTTGCTTCAGGTTTCAGGAAATAGCAGGAGCTCTAGATTCTGTGCTTACAACATCCAGCCTCCTCCCTGTTCAAAATTCAGACCCTGGTGAAGCAAACTATCAAAATTTAACACTAAAACAAAGTGTCACTCTATTGGAGAGTTTGAGGTCGTGCTGGAGGGAAGACGTTTTTTTGCTTTCTTGTTCTGACAAGTTCCTTCGCTTATCATTGCAACTTCTTGCTAGGTCAGTTTAAACTGGAATGTTGCAAATTTCTGTTTACTCTTTACGGTATGATAACCAGATTTTCCTGAAATTTTACAGATACACTAATTGGTTGTCAAGTGGGCTGATTGCTCGTAAGACTGGGAACATAAGCACCAGCCCAGGGTCTGAATGGGCTATTTCAGCTGTTGCAGATGACTTTATTTTTGTATGCATCACACCTTGACTGTAGCGTACTTATTTACTTTCTGCTGGACATTTGTTTTTTGTTACAAGTTTTTTTAACATCTCTTTAGTCCTTACTCTGTTTGCTCTAGTAATACTTGATGAGTTATTTTACGCCAGAGTTTTCTGAATTAAGAATTAATAAATTGCTTAAAAAATTGTTTTAAAGGTAAGCTGTCCTTGGTAATGATTAGGATTTGTCATAGTTGGCCTTGACTACCGTATTTGTAAGATATCCATTTTAAACCCAAAAAAAATGATCTAAGGAAAAAGGCATGATCGTGCTTGACCTCCATTATAACAGATCCTAAATTCTGTGCAGATTATTCATGATATCAGATGTCTGGAGGAGCAGGTTGATGGTGATTTTCTTCAACACGTGCTTCAAATTCTATCTTCCTGTTCCTCTGATGTTCTTGAGCTGGTAAGGCAGAGCATTTTACAAGGTGGTAAATCATTAAAAGATTTGGAACCCTTAGTCATCAAAACAGTAGTGGAGTCACTTGTGGAGAAGTCAGTTGAGGTAAATTAATTTATCAAATTGTTGTTTTTGTTGTTGGATTTGGGTATATAATGTTTTCTAGAAATCTTTTTGCTTATGTATTTTCTTCCCTTTCCCTTTAATCCGTTCATTTACTCATTTTGGTTTGAAATTAATCTAGGACCTGAGACAGATGAAGGGGATAACAGCAACCTACAGGATGACTAATAAGCCTCTTCCTGTGAGGCATTCCCCATATGTTTCTGGGGTATTGCGCCCTCTTAAGGTATGCATTATTGTTCAATTATGGAAGTGTTTAATTATTAAGATATGCAGTATTGTTCAATTGTGTAATTTATTTATTTCTATTTTTGCTCTTCCACTGTGTGTTTAGCTTGATTAAGTTATGAGGATGATGATTTCTATAGGATTTTGATTCTGGTAGGTATTATTAATGCAAGCCACTTGCAGTTTTAACTGGTTGCAGTTATCTGGAACGGGAAATTTTATTATTTGATATATGCAGAAGATGATTTCTTTCTGTATTTGCAATCCCAGGTTAATCCTAGATGGTAGGAATAGCTGCTTTTGTGCCTCTTTTCTTATAACGGAATGGTTTATATATCTGTGTTTGGGAGTCAAGTGATGCTACATTTGTGCAAACTAATTTAGTGGATAAGATTTATGATTCATCTAGCAAGCAACCTAATATGGTATAGTGGACGGGATTTACGTCTAGCTTTTTTGGATAAACTCATTTCAATCATTATTCGGTAAATTGTGGACATTCCAATGTATTCCAGGCTTTTCTGGATGGGAAGAGGGCTGCAACATATTTGGCAAGTGAAGCCAGAAATAAAGTACTTACAGGCGCTGCAACTGAAATCACTGACCGTTATTACGAACTAGCAGCTGATCTTGTTAATGTGGTAAGTGTCCAAGGTCAAACAGCACTCTTGAATTTTTCGTGGATATTTAGAATCGTTCTAACAACCGGTGATCATGATCAGGCAAGAAAGACAGAGTCTTCACTCCAGAGAATTCGGCAGGGAGCACAACAAAGGCGGGGTGGAGCTAGTTCGGATGTCTCAGATCAAAATGTGTCTGACACCGACAAAATCTGTATGCAGTTGTTCCTTGACATTCAGGTAGCCACGACCACGATCTCTTCATTTCTTGCTTTCACTCCTGTGATGTGGGGGCATGTTGACTCTTGTTTGAATTTTCCAGTCTTTTTTTTTTTTTTTTTCCGGTTTGGTTTTTTGCCATAGAATTTTTCAGTCTACTAAACCTTACTTTTTAATTGCTGACATTTAAACTTCCTCTTTGCATATTTTCATCTCAGGAGTATGCTCGCAACTTGTCTGCGTTGGGGGTTGATGCAGTCAGTATACCATCCTATCGGTCATTGTGGCAGTGTGTGGCTCCTGCAGATAGGCAAAACACTATTAAATTTTAAATTTTTTGCACGTGCGGGTTATGCAGCCTAAGGTTGGTTTCTTGGTCGAGGATTTGTGTAATACAATTAGCGGCCTTTGCTTATAGTGTCTTAAAGGCCAACATATTTTACAGGTATCAACGTCGCAAATTCACCTTAATGATGAAATTGTGTTCCTCTTTGCGGTTTGTTTTCTCTTTCCTTATTCTTTCCCTTTTTCAGTGTTAAAAAAAAAAAACTAAGGACTGTTTGGAATAATTTATAAGTAATTTTTTAATCGTGATTTATGAAATACAAGGTAAGTATGTAAAAGGAGTTTTGTCTCGGTTTAAATCGAACATACTTATAAGTAATTTTTAATGCCATGCCAAACAGGCCTAATTTGTGTATGCCCTCAATTGGTATAACAAGGCATGGGTCCTATATATTCAGGGAACAATCTCTCTTTTAACATTTCTGCATTTGTGTGACTTTGCTACCACTTAAGAAACTTAATCTAATGTTTGGCCAACCAAAAAAAAAAGAAAAAACTTGATCTAGTAATTAAAATTGATATGTAATTAATTTTTGCCATTCTTTAGAATCCAAATTAATAATTAGTACTTATAATAAATAGTATTTATATGTAAGCAAAATAAACTTTCAAAAGTTTTGAATCCCATGCAATGCACGAGTAAATAAGTAGTTTGATTAACCACTTAATAAGATTTAACCTACTTATAATGTTATATGTATCTCAAAAGATGCAGCCCAAATTTATCTGCTTTGCTTGGTCATATTTGCTTTAGGCTGTAGCTGCCAGCGTGCCCCCATCAAATCAAAGGCATTTTTATTTCCATTCAATTTTTGCGCTTAAGGTTATGCTGATTGATATTTGTGCGGGTAAAATACCTTGAAGTAATTACCCGAAAAAGAATGCTTGAATTGCGTATAAAAAAGGTTCTCTTTTGAAGATAGTTGTTACCAAAGTTGGGTGAATGTTGGTGTTAAAACGTCAGTAGTTTGTTTAATTATGATCATTATTAATTGTTTAATGAAAATAATCAAAACAAGCATCATACGCATGTAAAGGAGTATATTCCCATGAGGGGTAAACCTACAATATAACTTCTCTCTTTTGAAGGGGGTGCATTTATAATACTAGGCCATTTAGCTAATGCAAGTGTTCTATCGTGATCGTTTAAAAAGATATGATTCGAGTTATTTTTTTTAAAAAAAAAATTTCCTTGACAACGATTAAGGGCGTGGTCCCTTAGAAGATCGAAGCATAGGCTTGCAGTGGCGGCAATTTTATTCATTTAGTGACGCCCGCTCTATTAATCTTCCCCTTAAGAGGAAGATATGAAATAATAATTGTTCAGTTACAGAAGCTCATCTCCATAAATAAATGCCTGCTACATATAATAAACAATTGAGGAGTTAAGAGTTGCCTTTAAAGAATACTCCTCTAATCTTAAATATAAAACCCTTATACAAGTGTGTATAAGGGTTTTATATTTAGGAACGGAGGAGTAATATAGGCATCCCACAAGTTCAGACCGTACCTTCTCAGTCATTGGGAATCGTCTTCTTTCCCCCTCAGTCTTTTTCTCTCTCTCTTTTACTCTTCAGTACCGAAATAGCGGTCTCCAAATTCTCCCAACCCTGGTATAACTCGAAACTCTTCATTTAGTCCAACTTCAATCTCCGAAGTGACTATTTTCAGGTATGGAAAACGTTTGCATACACGGTGTATTCCCTCAGGAGCCTGAAATCAGTGATAAAATATATAGCCGTGCGTATAGGAGGAACATAGGAACGTTAGGAAGGTAAATCCCATTTTCCTGGTTTCTAATATTAGAATCAACTTACGGAGATGAGGTTGAGGAATATTATGCGGGACTCCGGAACTCCATTTCGTATAAGAAGCTCAATGGCTTGGCTGGCAGAGTTACCTGTGCAAATCAATAGAAGGTTACCTGATTGTTTGGTCATTGAACCAGTGCTTACGTGCTAGTTACTAATCTATTATGCGGATGATATATGACCAAAAAAAATAAATGTGCTCAAATTTAGCTTCGTAATTAAGATAAATGGTTTGGTGTGAAACTAGAATTTTGAAGAATGATGTCAATCTACCAAAGCTATTTTGCACGCTCCACATGACACTCAATCGCGCAAATAAAAGCTTTCTATGAGAACTGAGTAACAATGCATATCCTTTTGACTATTGTGCGCGCGCCTGAATACAAAGAGAAAGAAATAGTATCCTGTTGTTGAAGTTAGAGGAAGCTAGAAAGCTCTTGTATATCTTGTTAATTTCATGTCTAAGAAGGCTAATCAGAGAGCAAATTTGTTGGCCAGATACTGCCATAAGTTAGTTGATGTTTTTTATACTACTTCCGGTTCTAATTATAAGAGCTAGTTGACTAATTTGAAAAAAAAAAAAAAAAAGTTAAGTTAGTTATTTATAATAAATATGTATTGTCTTTCCTAAAATATCCTTGCTAATTAAGTGTATTGGCTATAATTACCATTGTTAAGAGGACTATCTTGAAAAAAAAATACATAAATATGAGAGACAAAGCGAATTGGGGTCTTATATTTAGGACCAAAATATAAGTCAAACAAGGTCTTATATTAAGAACCAGAGGTAGTACATCTGATTAACCCCTACCTTAGTAAAGCAAGCTCATGGATGATGGGAAAAAAGGGTAAGGATTAGCTCCTATCCTCGTGTAAATTTTTTTTTTTTTGGAATATATGATTTAGTTTCTATTAAAGGAAGGGGTTAAAACAAGATACGAATCCCGTAAGTATTAAGAGGGTCCATGTGCAAATGAAGAACAACTATAATGAAGGTAGGACGCCTGTTAATAAATGAAAATAACAAAAAGATGATAAAAGATCTTATTAAGAGGAAAAGTAAAAAAGGAGGATATGAAAAAAAGATGATAATTCACCTGTACCAAGTACTGGGTCCAAAAGGAGAACATGTCTCTCTGAAATATCTTTCGGAAGCTTCTCATAAATGAGCTTATATAGAACAGAGAAGGGGTGGGGGGATTTGGGGGGGTAAGTGAACCAGTTCCAGAGAAATGCATAATACCAACCAATAACCAAAACAAAAAAAATCAAAAACAAAAACAAAAACAAAAGTTGACATGGGAACCCGTACCTGGGTCTCATCACCTCCTTCGTGGTGGATGAGAATTTTTCCTATTTTGATTCCTTTACAACATGCGCGCAAAGCATTCTCCATGCTTTCACCACTGAGACATTAAACCAACTTATACACAGTTTGTCTGCAAGATATACATATTTACTTTTTCAAGGAACAACTGAAATACTGAATCATCGAAAGTTCCTAACAATATCCAATCGTATGTACTAATAAGGTGAGGAGGAAGTTGACAAACATTATCATCACGTGAACTAGGATTATACTCTTCATGCTGCGTATAGGAGTGTAGGATGCACTAGTTGCGATTAAGTTCGTTCTTGTCAAATGATATTAGAAGGAAGAGTTTTAAAAGGACAAAATGATTAATGCTAATGACATGTCTGAAAAATTCACCACATGAGATTGAGAAATGATTGTCGAAAATATACACATATAAAAAAATGATGAAGTAGAGAAACGTTAAACTGTTTGAACAAGGAAATTACCTACGAATGACGGATACACCGCACAATCTCTTACAGAAATCGACGCCAGTGTAAATTGATCCTGGAACGGAATAACAACCAAAAATACTGTAGCAGTCTGAAGAAAGCAAAACGTAATTAAAACATTCGGTCATGTGATCAATGAACTACTGAAACTAACAACCCTTAGACGGACCTGTGGGTGTGATAACCTGCTTCTCTGTAAATGGCAAATGGCCGAGACCGTGTTCCAGTACCTGTGAAGTTAAATGCTAAAATTAGTTTGTAAATGGGTACATAAATCCTGTAGAAAGCATTTGATCATTATTTACCAAACGAATAAGCCGATCTGAATAAAAAACAAAGTCGTGCTTTGATATATTCTTGTCACGAATTAGAGTGTGCATGCCTCTGATCTGTGAGAGAGCTTCAACATTAGAAATGCATACACCATATATATCTCCGTGGGTAAACGAAGCAAAGAAAAGAAATATATTAAAAAGTTAAAAGGAAGGACAACGATGATGATGATGAAGATCACCTGGTACGTAGAATGGATAACATTCAAATTCGGATATATTTTGCAGAGGTTATGTTGGCCAAGCTTAGTGCGGATATGTTGAACGATCAAGTCAACTGCTACCACATTCTCTTTCCCACGAGGTATTATGATATCGGCATATTTTTTGGTTGGAAGAATGAAATCATCAAAGGCGGGCTTGACAAATTTTGAATACTGAAAATCTGAAAATCATTAAGAAGGTCTCGGTATCAGCCACTCAGTGTCACGTATCGGTAAAATAATATTTAGCACAGTAACATCAGCAGAAAAGTGCAGTCATTTAACTTTACAGCGACTGCCTTTCACCATAAATACTGCATTACAGACTTTATAGTGCTAATCTGTTTCTTCGAGACTTGTTATGTCCCACAGATGGGAGAGACATAGGACTTGGAGTTTTTCCTTTTTTGGGGTACAGACTTGTATTATTTAATTAACCCTTCCTGATCCCGAGTTTGTCCAACGATACGGAATCATCAGAGTAGGCGAAGAGGTATCATGTATGTATCGTTCCTGAAGGTCGATAGTAATTTTTTTTTTAAAAAAATATATCAGTGTATAAATTGACAGATTTCCAAATACGCAAAATAGTTTTATTTTCTCAAATGATAGTCCTGGTATCTGCCAGTATGATCAATTATAGCCCCTTGGGGGGGGGGGGGACTTGCCTGTTCCAGTACCGACTGCATATCTCTGCCCCTGTCGACGGTATCCCGTCTTATTCTGCGGGCAAGCCTTACATCAGCATCTACATAACACGCAAGACAACAAAAACAGAGGATATTAAATCTGTTGAGAGCATTTCTACTGAGAACAAATTGAACAACTTGCTGGCACGTATCATCTCAAAGTATCTTCCACAAAGGTACTAGACAAGATCAAGATCACAAGCTCACGGCGTACAAGTAGACATGAGAAACAATTCTTCTCCTTACTGGACACGCATTTTCCTTAACCCAACCCAAATCAATAAGGTGCCCTTCAAACATAGATGAAGGAACAAAGGCTAACATATCAATTTGTCCCTTACGACTCTTTCACCAGGACTCGAAGACGGCCACTCAGAAGAAAATCCATGATAATAAAAAATCCAAAAGATAACAGATAGTGAACTCAGTATTAAACATCGTGCCCTATGAATTTCAGCCATTAAGTGCACTGTTGAAAGCTTGAAGCCTAGGCTGTTCTAATATCCTTGTCCTCCCCGCGTAAGTGCACAGCTTAGGCTGCAATGTTTTGCAGATGGAAGGATTACAAATTTGCATAGAGCTCAGAAGTCGTTGCTAAGTGAAATGGAAATGCTTTCTATGAAGTCTTAAAAGTTGTACTCAATGGATTGCAACCAAACAAGGAGAAGACAGAGCAAGGTACAATACAACCTAAGGGTTATGTATGCTGGACCTTTAGTGAATTTTGAATAGCTTGTATACAAAATTTAACCTGCTTGGATTTATTTAACTTGTGATTGGTAGTAGAATAACTCGAAACCATATCAAGATGGGGGAAAAGAAGACCTGTATCGACAAAGATTTTCATATTCATCATGTCGCGCACACGTTGCTCATGAAAAACCAATATGCCCTCCAAAATGATTACTTCAGATGCATTGACCTGCCCAATAGTGAGCCCAAAAAAGGGAGGGGGAATCAGGCCTCTGTCTGCATTTTAATTTAATTTTGCAAGAGCATAGCACCTCCAATAATTTGTTGTGAAAAAACATATGGTGACTCATACACTATGCAATTCTCTTGCTAGAAATATGATTTCAAGCTTGTCGGTTTGTTTGTTTTCTGTATAAATAGACGGGCAAGTAATGGAATCAACTGTTAGGCAACAAGTCTGAGAATAATTGACACTAACACCCGAATTTAGGTTAAAATGTGAGAAAACTACCTGCGTATATTTTTCAGACGACCGCTGATGTGTCTTAAAATCATATACTGGCACATGAACAGACTGTCCAGATTTGAGCTTGCTGATACACTTCACAAGTTCCTCAGTATCAAAGGCGTCTATAGAAACCAAAATAGAAGCATCAGAACTGATTTCAGAATCAGTATCAAAATAAAGTTTAAGGTCAATATACCAGGATGATCAAAATTATATTCATGGACGCGTTTCAACTCTCTCTCTGTCAAACCACGGTAGAATGAGTCCTACAAGAACAACATTTGATTGATTAGAAGGCTAAAAGCTCGTTTTTAATCCCTGTAATCAGGCATAGAAGCACTAAGTGGCAACGAAGAAATTAAATGATTTCGTTCATCATTTACTCATAGCTGAGCAATAAAGTCCAGTAATTATAATTGCAAAAATGGCTGGACCAAACTGGAGAAGATTCTAGAATATACCAGTGACTGACCTGACAGACTCAATATACCAGGATGATCAAAATTATATTCATGGACGCGTTTCAACTCTCTCTCTGTCAAACCACGGTAGAATGAGTCCTACAAGAACAACATTTGATTGATTAGAAGGCTAAAAGCTCGTTTTTAATCCCTGTAATCAGGCATAGAAGCACTAAGTGGCAACGAAGAAATTAAATGATTTCGTTCATCATTTACTCATAGCTGAGCAATAAGAGTCCAGTAATTATAATTGCAAAAATGGCTGGACCAATTCTACTGGAGAAGATTCTAGAATATACCAGTGACTGACCTGACAGACTACCACCACTCTATGATCTTGCAGTTGTTGAATGATCATGTCACACACAGAGGTCTTGCCTGATGCCGTACCTCCAGAGACCCCTGTTCAATTGCCAGCTTGTAAATCAGGGTGCACAAAAATATCACATATAATTGAGTTTGTCCCTTAAAATTTGTGTAGTGGCAGAGAAAATGTTGGAAAGCTGGAGTGAGTAAAAATTTGAGTAAGAACGTTTCGTACATTCAGACTGTCCGAAAGAGAAAAACGCAACGAAGTAATGACACCGATAAAGAAACAGAGACGAAACAAGCATACAAGCTACTAAGCTAGCCAAAGCACATCGAGATCCTGGTATTTCAGTACGAACAAGAGCATTGCACTTTATCCTCTTTTTTTGTTTTTGTTTTTTTTTGTTACCGAGAAAGCAGGGCAAATTAAGACTTCTCATTTAAGCTAGAAAATCAGTTTAAGGCATTGGTTTTGTTCATGTACTTTCCAGAAAAGTCAAATGAATGCGCATGATCCAGAATTATTGAGAACATCGAAAATTGCGAGAAACGGAAGATCGGAATAATATCAGTGCTTATATATGCATACCGATCACAAATGGCTGCGTAAGGCCAACGAGACCGTCATCAGTCGGAGATAAAAATGAAGAAGACGACGTCGTCATGGAAGGACGCCGACCAGAGAAATGAGCGGCGGAGGTAGACTCTATCAGGATGTCCATTGTCGTCGACGGCAGCGTCCCAGTTTCTTCTGTCACGGCCAATATGCGTCCCTCCCGCGAGTCTCGTCTCTTATATATGCGTATGCGTGTTCTTGCGCTCTAATTCAACTCTTCACTTTTTCTTCTTTAAAAAAAAAAAAAAAGAAATTGGATCCTGTGCAAACTATTTCTATATTATTCACTAATAAAGTTTTTAAATTAATATAGTAAGATTTCAACTCAATACACGGGACAAGTTCTGAAGTTCTTCGCAACTCAACTGAAAAATGTAGATTTGGGTCCAAAATAAAAGCTTGATGGGCTACATGGTCTTTTAATTAAACTGATAACATTATTCAACTGCTGCGTTAGAAAACAAATATTTTAAGCGAATATATCTCTATTATCGGCATTAACTGTTTATGATTAAGTGTTAGCAACTATTCTTTAAAATTAATTAATAATTTCTCAATGCAGGATATCGTGTAATTTAATAAATCATCTTAGGTGGAAACAAATATTGGCGGGTCACATGCCAACATAAAAAATTGGGTAAAAACTAATTTTCAGAAATTTATGGTTCAACCAAATTTTGTATGATTTGATGGAAAGTGCGAGTTGAATTAAAAGTTCATCATTCAGTGAATCTAATGCCAATTTGTTTTAGAGAATATCTCTTAAGTGTTGTTGGTAATTTGTACATTATAGAGACAGAAATACTTATAATGGGTTGGGGCAAAAAAAAAAAAAGAAAAAGAAAAGAACTACGTATAGTGAATGCCTCCTGGAGAAGTTTTATTCATAGCCTTGATTGTTTCAGTGGAAATGAACGGTTATAATTGGTAAAATGACCAAATTGTATAGTGTTGCTGATCTACTACCTCCGGTCCTAATTATAAGAGTCAGTTGATTAATTTGAAGAGCTTAAGAAAGTAAGTTAAGTTAGTTATTTATAATAAATAGGTGTTATCTTTCTTAAAATATCATTGTTAATCGAGGGTGTTGGTTAGAAGGACCACCTTGAAAAACAATATATAAATATTAGAGACAAAGTGAATTGAGGGCTTATATTTAGGATTAAAATAAAAGTAAAACGAGGTTTTATATTAAAAACTAGAGGTAGTATTATATTCTTGAATAATTGGCAGAAAAATGATATTTTCTTGAATATATTATTAATGAATGGATGAATGTTCATGAAGGGAAATCACAAATATTAATTGTACTAAAAATTCTGTGCATTGAACTCCATTCATTATCTTAGGAATTCAACTTCAAATATTTTTCATTTTTGGCCCGCGTTCATGTCATTGAGTGTAATGTTGATGGGAAAACATGAGGTCCATGTCCAGGGAAAACATTTTTCTTGTAGGATAAAATACGTTTTTTCCCCCCGAGGCGGGGCTTGGACTCGTATCGCCTTGCATTGAAATTCAGAGAGAATTTTTTTTTTAAAATACAATTTTTAGGGAAAGTTTTGTTTTCAAAGAGCCTTCAAAACTTTTGAAACTTCACTGCAGGACCAAGAGGGTAAACTGATATTAATTTCACAAAAAAAAGACACTATTGCCCCTCATGTGAGCAAGTGTGGGAGAGCCTATTTGCAAATGAGACTAGACAATTTGTAATATACATACATATATTTACAACTGGAATTAGTCCATTTACATGTCACCTACTTTGGTTTGCCCTAAATTTCACTATTGCCCCTCCATTATTCTGCCCCCTTGGTTTTGCAGTGAAGTTTCAGAAAGTTTTGAGGGTCTTTGAAATTAATTCTGTACTATGGTCCTTAAACAAAATTTTCCGTAAATTTTAATTGAGAACTTTGGTGCCAATAATAAAATACTGGTTAGTCACACACAAATTGTAAAAACTACTTTTTTTTGAATTTTTCAGAAACCTGTTGTTAAATACTATATCGAAATTGTTAATAGAGTTACAGAACTTGTTAACAGCATTACTAATAAAATTGTAAACATGCTAATTTTTAAATTTTTCAAAAAATTGTTGTTAATTGCTATACTAAAATTATTAATAGCATTATAAAAGTTGTTAACTGTTTTACTGAAATTGTAAAAAAAATTTTAAAAAAATAGTTGCTAAAGTTGTAAAAATGCCTTTTTTGAATTTTTAGAAAATTCGTTGTTAAATACTATACCCCCGAAACTTATTAATGACATTATTGAAGTTGTAAAAATGCCATTTTTGAATTTTCTAGAAAACTTGTTGTTAACTGTTATACTAAATTTTTAATAGCGTTACAAAAATTGTTTATCATTATACTAAAATTGTAAAAAAAAATTTTAAAAAATCGGCGACCAATTGTCGGCCGATCGTCAAAGGCCGGCCAGTAGGGCTTTGGTTTTTTAAAAAACAATAAATAAAATAAAGGGTAATATGATCATTTCAGCAAATTTAGAAATGTCAAATTGGTCACTTATGACTAAATTGGGATTTTGCAAATTCAAATGATCATTTGGCATTTTCAAGTTTAAGTATTATTTTGTGTCATTTTTCCAAAATATATTGGTGTGTCACACAAATTTTAAAATTATAAGGATATATAATATATGCACAAGAACAAACACACACATCCAACATGCCCACACACACTTATGTAGTGATCAACATATGTCTATAATAAACTTAAAATTATCGCATAAATGCAAAAGCTCACTATATACTAAGGAACAAAAAACTGGACCGGACACTAAACTGGTTAAGATGGTAGTTCAATAGTCAATTGGTCAGACCGGGGTCAACTCGGAGTCCAACCGATCATATTAAAATAATATAATTTAATTGAAAATAACAAAATGTAACAATATTAATAATCACTAATAATAAAATATAAGGAAATATAACAATAGTTTGATTGTAATAATAACAAGATATAACAACATTGAGAATTTTGATCTTTATGATTTATCAATAACTAAAATTAATAATCATTGATACCAAAATCATCATTAAAATTCATTCAAACCTATAAGAGCTGAGATATTAGAAGCCGAATCACTATATACTAAGGAACAAAAAATGGACCGGACACTAAACTGGTTAAGATGGTAGTTCAATAGTCAATTGGTCAGACCGGGGTCAACTCGGAGTCCAACCGATCATATTAAAATAATATAATTTAATTGAAAATAACAAAATGTAACAATATTAATAATCACTAATAATAAAATATAAGGAAATATAACAATAGTTGATTGTAATAATAACAAGATATAACACATTGAGAATTTTGATTTTATGATTTATCAATAACTAAAATTAATAATCATTGATGCCAAATCATCATTAAAATTCATTCAAACCTATAAGAGCTGAGATATTAGAAGCCGAATGAGAAAAAATAGGATCAATAATAACTAATCATCCAAACCGGTTTACTACTAGTTCACACCGGTTTGCTATCGGTTCAACTCCCTCCTAGTTTAATATCCAAAACGAATTGGACCACTGGTCGATTCTCTGACTGAACTGGTCGGTTCAGTCTGATTTTTTGTTCTATGTTATGTACATGAATAAAGTGTCATATATCAATAAGAACTTACAAAATAAAATATTTGTTCTTTCCTCCCAAATACTAATATAACAGTATCATTGAACCAAATGAAGAAAGGAGAATATTTAATCAACTTGTGTGTGTGGGAGGGAGAGCATTAATTTATATGAGTTTGGAGGTGAAAATTGTTGAACTTCTCAGCTTTCTTACAACGCTAGTAGGATTTTCTCCCCTACAGCCACCGGGTTGATTCTTTTCTATATTGCTTTAACTTTCTTTAGGATCAATTCCTTCTTAGGTTTTCTTGCTTTGAAACCACTAAATTATTCCTTATTTCATTCTGTTTTTTTTTTTTAATTCCTTGCTTAAAGGCTGATAATTCTTTTCTTTTAAAAGCACAGATCCTATAAATAGCACAATAATCACATCAACTTGAAAATTTTCAGTTCTGAATTTTAAATTATGCTTAACTTTCATCTTAATCCTTGGATTTATCCTATAATGTCTATCTAAGTTGAGATTAAAATTTGGGTTCATACTAGTATACGTAGTTTTTTATAAAATGATAATCTCTTTAAATCATACCACGACTTAGATAACTATACTCCTAATATTATAAGTATTTAATGGCAACTATATTTCTTAACATAATAATATAAAAAAATTTACATAAATAAAATTATTTTATCACTTTTTTTTAAGCAAAACAGATAGTTTTATTAATACCACAAAAAAACAGATACAAATACCAATAGCCACTTAAAGCCCCAAAGGAAAAAACACTCAGAAAAGCCTAACAGTACAACCTATCACACCAACAAACCAAACATAAAAGGAAAAACAAACAACAGAAGCAAAGGAAAAAAAAGCCAATAGCACAAACGAGGAATGGCCTATACCAGATCTATCGCCAACATTAGAAACCGAAATAGCATGAGTAAACTAACAGTCAAAGAGTAAGATAGCAAGCAGAGGGGATGATGGCTTAAAAAGCCATCCCATAGGTACCATACCCCTCAATGCCTCAGCTGCCATACAATGTGCAGCCTTATTACCCTTTCTACTTACCAAAGCCATCTCCTAGTTGTTGTTTAAAGACAAGAAATCCCAACATTTTTGGAGGATGTCAGCATAGCACCATTCACCCCCTTCAAATTCTTACTGCACATCAGGTTATACAACTCACTACCATTTGTCTCAAACACTACCCTCCTCGAATCCTTCCTTGAGACAGCTTCAAAGGAAGTTAAGAGAGCCACACCTTCTGCCATGAAAAGAGAGGAAGCCAAAATTTTCATGCCTAGCCCTCCTACAAAGCAACCAGATTCATCTCTATAGACAACACTTGTTGTAGCAAGACTTAAACAATTATTAAAGCCACCATCAATATTTACTTTGACTACTCCTACCGGCGACCTCTTCTATGACTGGTTTTTTATCACTTTCACACCACAAGACTCTCTCCTTGCCCTTCTTGCATTAACTTCCCCAAATTCTATGACAAGTCTCATTACAGCTACTACACAGCCATAAG